TGAAGGAGTTTGCTGATACGGAGGAGTTCGCTGATACGTAGGAAGGGAGCAGCAACCAAATGAACTGCTGATACGGAGGAGTTTGCTGATACGTACACTAATACTAGGAGGAGTTTGCTGATACGGAGGAGTAATATAACTAGCATTTCATTTATTACACTGATTCTAATGGTCCAACCACTGTGGTTGTAAACTCACCACCAGTAGTAGTACTAWTCTGAGTCGGTAAAGTTAGTTCACTGTTCACAGTCGTGTTGCTTGGGGAAACAACAACATCAACACCATCACCCTCAGCAAAGCCAATGTCCTCCTCATCATCTTCGATGCCCAACAAGTATTTCATATACTCAGTGTTATCTCTCAACCCTTCATTGGTTGGAGGCTTCCAATCCTTCCTGTCCTTTGAGGATTTGTCATTTCTAACTCTTGAGCAGTAGTCACCTCTTCCAAGCCCAAACCATTCATAGTTGTGGTAGTTGCTGTGACRRAACTTAYGGATTGGATCTCYRTTAGAATCCCTTTTCCTAGAATTGGTGCTTATGGTTGAACATAGGGGGACTTTACATAGTCTACATATGCTGTAGGTATTGCTACCGCACATGTAACAAAGGTTCMTGCTCCTTGAATTGGTGGGCACCGTTGCCTCCAAGTGTTTTTTATACTCAGTCTGAGTGAAGCAAAATCTTCCCAGCGCCTTGTACTCTGCAACAGTTTGCAAATTGTGGTATGCAAGCAGCTTCCCATTCCTAAGAAAGTCTTGCACGCTTTTCTTCTGGTTGCCCTACCGCTTCTTAACCTTCGTGTTGCTTTTGTGCACTGCCTAAGCCTACCATCACAGTTATAGGCCTGCTCAACTGGATCATACMTAATCATCTGCAAAGCAAGTCTTTGACGGAACTCGCAATAGCTCATAACATTGCTCAGTTTCCACTCATCGCCCAGGCTCCCATCAGTACACTCCTTGTAGATATCRWASRCTGTAGCAATTGCCAACGCCTTTGCATGATTGACTGCCGCATGGTAGTATTTCCACGACTTGTAACCAATATTGGCTCTGGAGATGTAAGCATCAATATGATCCAGCTTACCGTACGTATAAAGATAAACTTCACGTGACTCATTCATTTCAATACCCCATATGTGTTTCTCCTTCCCCCTTCCGCGCTCCTTCTGATGRATGTAAAATGTTGAAGAGGAAATAGAGTTCACTGATCCCAAGTTGCATGCACCAGTGCTTTGGAATGAACAGTGGACTCGTCTGTAGGCTTTYGTCCCCTTCTCTAAATCTGCTGGTACAGTTTTAACTGCAGTTATAGGCTTTGCCATGCGTGATGCTTTGGCTCGCGATTTTCCATTTGAATCACCAGCGGCATTCTTCTTATGAAAATACTTTCCTGGAACCTTTGCTGGCAACCTGTTCTTAGCAACAGTTCCCATCATCCCCAAGCCCTGCTCACCCATCCAATCCAAAATTGAATCTGATAGGAAAAAGTTGTCTGCTGTGACATGAGGTCCAAATCTCCAAATGTTCCCAGGTCCTATGTTAGGAATAACAAAGTTGTCAACTAGGTAATGTACTTCAGCTGGGCCGGTGCAGGAATGCCTACCATCATCCGGTTTCCAACCACGGTATCTATGTGTCCATGCCCTTGGCCTGATCCAATCCACATCTGACATAAGGACAGTCTGACCGCCCCTGGTAATCATCTTGCCTTTCAAGTAGTTAACAAGTGGACCACAGAAGCCTTGGTACGGCCAGCTTGACTCATTGATACATAGATCCAAGCCAGCATACTCTGTGAAGTAATTAGTGTTATTCACGATAGCGTGATAGATGAAGTCAAACTTGTAAGCAACATTACCAGAGTTCCTTTGAACATCGTTCTTGCAAAGCTTCAAGTTTCTTTTGATCTCATGCCACCTAGTGCGTGCCATTGTATTCGCAATGTGCTCGTTAAATGAAAGATCTTTAGCATCCCATCTAAACTTTATATTCTCACTTGCTCCTTCACAAGCTCCATGCATAAACAGGATGCCATCAAAATGAACTGCTTCAGGTAAAGTTACAGGTTTCACTTGGTGTCCTTCCCCTTCATTTGCATCCATGATGTAGACAATTGTATATCTCATCACCTTGTTGTAGTACTTACACTTCTTCTCTGGTTCACTTTGGTACCGCTGAGCATCTGCTGTGTCAGGAGCAATAGGAAGGAGCAACTGATAGAAGAAGAACGCATCTCCGTTCTCAATGCGATCCTTCGTGAGCCCATGCTGCTGGAGCTTGAAGATATCTAGCTTCCCCTTCCTGTCATCTGGAAACATGTTGTGTTTCGTAGCAAACTTCCTTGAGAACTCATTGTTAGGATCCTCTGTTGTTCCATCCCATGCGTTGTAATRAAACTCCCATCCTTTTTCTTCCCTGATGGGTTCCTTGCCAAGACCAGATAAGTGTTTTGGAACTTCAACAGGCTTACACTCAGCGGGAAGGAAGTGACCTTTGTACTTCCCTGTACCTGCTTCAAACTTCGGTCTGTAGTAATAAGGATGCCACCCTCCAGGGTTATCCACATCTTTCCATTCCTCTGGCTCACCTTTGTCAACCTTTGGTTCCTTTCTTTCATAACCCACTGGTACTTTTGGATAATTAAGACTGCTATCAACAATAGTTCCATCTTTCCAATAGAAGAACTCAGTATCATGAGGCTCAATCGCATTGTCCCAATTCCAAGCTATTTCTTGGCTCTGCTGAGTGATTACATTGAATATCTCAGCTTGTGGTGCCTCCTTGTGACTCATTCCTGAAGCTTCGGAATCATAATTAGGCTCAGTTTCATCAACTTGTTCTTCCTCATCACTTGAGCTTTCATCATCCTCAAACAAAGTTTCCACATCTGATTCTAACTCAAACGCTGCTTCAAAGGCGGATTCTTGGGACTCAAAGAGAGCTCATTGTTGTCGTAAGGCTGGTTGTCGTGTTGTCCTTGTTCTTGATGAATGTCGGTTGGTTATATTGTTGAGTGGCATCGATAATATTGATATTGGTGAATAGTGCTGATACTGTTGCTGATACTGTTCCCGATACTGTTGCTGAGCGTTGCTGTTGATTACTGCTGCTTACTGATGCTGATACGGAGGAGGATGCTGATATCGTCGATTCGTTGCTGATATCGTTGACACGGAGGCTCGCTGATATGTGTTGCTGATACAGAGACTTGCTGATACAGTGTCCGCTGATAAGGAGGATGCTGATACGGAGGATGCTGATACGGAGGATGCTGATATGGAAGATGCTGATATCATCGATGCGTGTGAGGCTTGCTTGGATCAATGGCGTTGCTGATACTGTTACTGGTGATACTGTTGCTGATATTCTTGCTGGAGATGAACTGTTGCTTTATGGTGTGGCTGATTAGTGTCAGTGGAGGGGGGGGCAAGAAGATGTCGGTTGTCGGAACAAGAAGGGCTCTCACTGGAATTATGGTAGCTTCAGCACATGGTTGTGAGGACTCCTCTGCGTCAAACAACTGACAAGGAGTTGCCTTGCTGCTATTGGCATCAAGGATCAGTATTGGTGCAACATTGGAGGTGCAACATTGGAGGTGCAACATTGGAGGTGCAACATTGGATGTTATTGTAGGTAAATATGTTCATCGAGAATTAATTTCCAGCACTCCGACAGACATCATGACAAAAATTCCATAGAAAAAATGGTGTGTTCTGACAAGATTTCGTGATGTCAGTTGGCGCGCTTGACATATTTTACAAGGGAAAAAGATAGCCAAAAATCCCCGATATTATCGTACATCTGCTGGCCAACGCTATACGATATGCCAAAAAAGGCCCTCTTTAAGTAGCTATTGCAATCGCGTCAGACAGATTAAACATATTTTATCTTCATGACTGAATATCACTGTAATAGATCTGTTTAGTGCAAAAATAAGCATTCCAATAGCCCAAATATTGAGCTTATTCCAACCAGAGAGGTGCAAACTGTACCAGTATTTTGGAACGGAGGTAGTATGTATTTTAAGTACCAGAGGCCTCGTCCGACCGTTTCGAGAAATCGGTTGCAAAAATCTCGTACTGCTACTCGTACCATATTTCTACTTTACGTACGGGACGTACCGCACATCTCTTTTGGTTGGCTCACGATTTGCGAATCCAACGACTGCAAGACTAGCTTTCCCTTTTTCGATATTAGTGTTTCTGTTTTCAGTTTCGTTTTCGTGGTTACCTCTTTACTGAAATTCCATTCCCGACACCGCACGAACCGTGGGTAAACCAGGTGGTCTCACCGTTTTATCGACAACAACAAAGAAAACACTACGTGCACCGATAGAGCCCGTCTCGTCTTCCCCTGAAACTTCCCTCGTATATTGCTTGTAAGCTAGGTACGTGTGTTCCCGCACCATGGCGGTGCTCCTGGACGTTGAATCGAATTGAATCGAATCGAAACAAATCGAAATATAGGAAACAACTACGAGATGTCAGAAGGTGGTACAGAATGCGAAGGGATGGAATGGAATGGCATGGGATGGAAGTTGTTGGGAGAGCAATGGGTTGCAGTTTGGGACCTATGCACATACGGAGCTGGTGGCATTTTTGTAACGTTGGTGCACAGTAGCAGAAAAGAATATGAATGCACACAAGAGCATGGGCTGGAATGCTGTGAGAAGGAAAAGAAAGCAACCCGAAGCAAATTTCTCGACTCCGTAGATCCATGCAACAACCACTATTTCGAGCTTGCCGGCACGGTCAGAATCGGATCGGCTGTACGACTATCAGGTAGCATGGCGAAGACGGAAGACTGGATCCTATCACGTTCTACATGTGAATGGTTTGGTGTTCTTGGATGGGTTCATTTTCTGTACAAATGTTCCGCCCGTTGTCCATTCCCTATCTTACTCGACGGAACACAAACCCATTCATGTGTACCAGAACAAAAATACGAAGACAAACACACGCTGCAGCGAAGCAACACACAACATCACTTGTGGCGGAAGTCTCCGTGCTTGTTCTCTACGGCCCATCCAGTCCTCTCTTTCATTTGCGACGGCTTTTCGTGTTGACTCGAACCTTCGCTGGCGTTATTGCAACCTTGCGTAGTGGTTTGGATTGGGGTTCCCCAACCCAGCTCGACACAGGACCTTTTCTCTTCAATTCTTCCGCTCCTTTGGTCGTTCTCACAAATGATTTCTTTTTTCTTGCCTCTACCTACTACATCAAACAGCTTTTTGGTCGCTACGAACCCCCTTTTTGTATTACACATCAAACCGAACAAAATAATTCAAAATGGTCCGATACAGCGTTGAACCCGAGGTTCCCGAGAAGGTCTCCAAGGCCCGTGGCTCTCACCTGCGAATCCACTACAAGCACTGCCGGGAAATTGCCCATTTCACCAAGGGTATGAAGGCCAACAAGGCCCTAAAGCACCTCGACGACGTACTCCAGTACAAGGCCATCATTCCCTTCGTCAAGTACACGGGTGGAATCGGTCGCAAGGGAATGGCCAAGCAGGTCAACGCCCCCGGTGACAAGGGTCGATGGCCCGTCAAGGCCACCGCCGTCTACCGCGATCTCCTCCTCAACGCCATGGCCAACGCCGAGTCCAAGGGCCTCGACGTTGACTCGTGCGTCCTGGACCACGCACAGGTCAACCGAGCCCCCGCAGGACGCCGTCGAACTTACCGTGCCCACGGTCGCATCGGAAAGTACGCCTCCCAGCCAGCCCACATCGAAATCATGCTGAAAGAGGTCGCCGAGGGCGTCGAGAAGGCGGACGATGCCGCCGCCCCCGTCAAGATCACCAAGAAAATGGCCGCCAAGCGGCGATTCGTCAAGGTTGGGGCCGCATAATTGAATCTTCGCGATGTGATGTCTCGCCCTTGCACGATACAGACAACCGACCACCGCAAGAACTACTATAAATTTAAGAATCACTTTTCACCCCCACATTGGTACCGTATAGCTCTCGCTGGCACCTACACCCATGGTGTGGTATTCTTTATTTTAGTTTAGGTTTTTATTTCTTGATGGGTGGACTCTGTTCATTCATTCTTCTCGATCTACCGAACGATCAATTACAGATGAAATAGAGTACGAAACCATCATGCCGGTGTCTATCGAACCAATCCGCTTCTTGACAAAACATGGGTTTTGTGGTTTTGGCACTCGTAGACTGGTGGGACCTGCAAGTCCTAATAATCTCACTGATTTCTCTATGAAAAGCAGCATTCTTCCAAAAACGACTTTTCAGAAACCCAGAATACTGATCTTTGTTGTGTTCAATCTCCCTCTTCACAAATAACATGCTTGTAGTTCCTTCAGTAAGCAGCAACCACTGGCGGAGTGCTTCATGTCCAATGCATCGCACATGATTTTTGATTCATGGATCCATCAATATCTGATCAGGAGAGCTTCCCTTACATTATCGGACCACTTCATGTTCAAGGTCAAAAATTCAGGGAACATGGAGCAACCCTTACAAAAATCCTTTGTGAGCCATAATTTTCAAATCAATTTTTTTTCAAACGCATGAAATTTCACTTCTGAAAATTATCCCCTAGATTTCCTACTGCTGATTCTACACAGTACATACCTGACCAGCACCTTCTGGCATCCAAACAAACCATGGTGACACCCCCTTCTGAAGGGGAAATCCCACCTCCCTGGCTCCATTAAAGACAAGAATACAGAAGACAAGACCACTTAGTATCTTTATTCCTTCCCAGTCCCAGCTGCCTCAGCTGGATCCATCCCCTGTTTCTCTGGAAGGATTGCACTTTTGTCAGTTCCAACATTTGTGTAGCCTCCAGTCATGATGTTGTTGTTTCCAACATTTCATGTTGGACAATGACAACAACCCCAGCCCCCAGTATCCAACCAAGACACATCCTTTGAGGAGTAATGCCTGGAGTATGAATATAATTTTTAAAACGAATGTTTTCAAACACACAAAATTATGCTTCAGTTCTGAAAATTATCCCCTAGATTTCCTACTGATTCCTAAATAGTTCCTACTACCTGACCAGCACCTTCTGGCATCCAAACACCTTGGTGACATCCCCTTCCAAAGGGAAAACCCACCTCCGTGGCTCCATTCAAGCCCTTTTAAACAGCAACAAGAAGCAATCTAACCAAGACTATTCTATATGGATGTCCTTCAGCTGGTGGCAGTTTGCCTCAGCTGGATCCATCCCTTGTTCCTCCAGAAGTACGATACTATATCTTCCAGTATTGAAGCTGTTTTTCTTTCTGGCATTCGTGCCAGAAAGCAACAACACCAACCCCAGCCCCCAGTATTCAACCAAGACCTGTTCTTTGAGGAACGACACCTGGAGTATATCAAATTCTGTTACAAGATTCCCTGGCATCTCCATGCCGTTCCAGTATTTTTTACAGACTGGAAGAAGATTCTGGTCATGTTGTTGTTGTTGTTGTTGTTGTTGTTGTTGTTGTTTTTGTTGTTGTTGTTGTTGTTGTTGTTGTTGTTGTTGTTGTTGTTGTTGTTTTTGTTGTTGTTGTTGTTGTTGTTGTTGTTGTTGTTGTTGTTGTTGTTGTTGTTGTTGTTGTTGTTGTTGTTGTTGTTGTTTCTGGCATTTGTGCTGGAAGGCAACAACAACAACAACCCCAGCCCCCAGTATTCCACCAAGGCCTATTGAAGAACAACCCCTGGAGAATTTGCTACATGATACATACTCTAACAAAGATTCCCCAGCATTATCTCCATGCAGTTTCAGTATTTCACAGACTGGAAGAGTTTTCCAGTCATGTTGTTGTTGTTCCCAACATTCATGCCAGAAAGCAATAACAACAACCCCAGCCCCAGTATTCAACCAAGAGCCTGGAGTATAAGCTACACCATACTCAGTTTAAGAAGCAGATTCCCCAGACTTATATCCATGCAGTTCCAGTTTTATTTACGGACTGGAAGCGTTTTCCGGTCACGTTGCTGTTGTTGTTGTTTCTGGCAGGAATGCCAGAAAGCAACAGTTTCAACCCAGACCTATTGACCAACAAAGCTTGGATTATATGCTACACCATATTCAAGCAGATTCCCCAGCATCTCCATGCAGTTCCAGTTACATTCATGGACCACAAGAGTGTTCCAATCATGTTGTTGTTGTTGTTTCTGACATTCATGCCAGACAGCAACAGCAACAGCAACAGCAACAGCAACAGCAACAGCAACAGCAACAGCAACAGCAACAGCAACAGCAACAGCAACAACCCAAGCCCCCAGCAGTATTCAACCAAGTCCAAGAAGATTCCCAAGCATCTCCATGCAGTTCTAGCTTTATTTACAGACCAGACAAGTTTTCCAGTCATGTTGTTGTTGTTTTTGTTATTTCCGGCATTCATACCAGAAAGCAATAACACCAACCCCAGCCCTTCCAGCTATCCATTTTCAAAGCAAGATTGGCTGGCACCACGTGTTCGCTGGCCACATTTCACTCCAGTGGTTTACTGATCTTGATCTTCATTCCAGCTCTTATTCCCCGCTCGTGTTGGGGGGTTATCTTGTTGAATTCTTTCTTACCTCTTATATATCATTATGGGAACAGCGAAACAAGGACCTCCATGGCTACACGCTTTCCCAGAAACAAGAGAAGCATCGCCAGAGAGTGGTGAAGAAAATTCAAACCTTATTTGCATTGAAATCTCAAACATGTCCTTCTCACGCCCATTTATTTCCAGCAGATATGGCAGCCTTCTTATTGAAGACTCCGACCTCCATGCTCTCATATTACCTTTGAGTCTATGAGAAAACGATCTTGGCACTTCAGTCTCCAACACCCGCCCAATTACCCAGTATTTTCCACCAGTGCTTCATAGTAAACAACCACTGGAGAGCGTCACACAGGATGGGCTAGTCTTTGAAGCCTACTCCAAGAAGAAACGACACAGACCCCCTGCGTCCCCACAGAATTCTTTGGTCTCTGCTCCAACCAACCGTGCCATACAAACTACTATGAAGCAATATTTTTCTTAAACATGCCCTCTGAGTCTAGCCTTGGGCCTTCAGTGGCCTATCAGTGTGCATAAAACTTGGTCGCGTCTCCACAACACCTCCTTGGAGGGAGGCGCCGCCCCTCGGAGCAGCTAGAAGCATTCTTTCTAACAAAAGCTATGGTTCTGGCCATATAGTGCCTCTTCTACTAGTTCACGAGGTTAAATATAATATTAAGATTTTTTTTAACACCAACCCCAGCCCCCAGGATTCAACCAAGACTTTTTCTTTCTTGAGGAACAATGCCTGGAGTATAAGCTACACCATACTCAGTTTAAAAGAAGATCCCCCAGTCTTATCTCCATGCAGTTCCAGTTACATTCATGGACCA